TTTTTTTTTAATTTGATTTTTAATGAATAAAAATTATTTTGAAAAGTAAAGTGAAACAAGAGGAGAAATTTCAGGTATTCTTAGTTTCCTAGCAGTTAAATTAGAGGAAAGAGGTGGGTTATGTCAGTATTTTCTAAATGCTGGCCTGAACACAAGGCTTGATGATACTGGTTTATAATTCAGAAGCTATGCAATCAAAAAGTTTCATTTTTTAAGTATGCAGTCAGACCTAGAATCTATTTAGTTACACAAGTCTCATAATCGTTATAGGAATTATGCCAGTTGCTCAGAAAGCAAATTCCATTCAGGGTATACATGAACAAGTTTTCCTGAAATCTCTTATGTAGTGTTCTTTGTCAAATAATATACCACTAGGTCCTTGCTCTGCATTCTCTTTGGAGGGTTTTACTCATGTTTCTCTCTATAACAATTCCTGCACTTGGTAAGAAGTCAATAAAAATTTGCTGAATGAGTATTTTTTCATAATTCTGGATTCTTCTCAGAATGACAAATGTCAAATTGAAATATATGCATTCATAGCAAAAACAACAAACCCAGAAAACCCAATGGAAAAAAAAAAGGGCAAGACATTCCAATGGCCTACAGATTGTTCAATGCCAAAATATTCAGTGAAAGTATTTTCCAGTAAGTGAGAAAAGATGCAGCTCCTTCTCAGGCCAAAAATGCTACTCTGGGTGAGGATGTTTGCCTGTCTAAAAGAGAGATTATTCAGTCACTATTCATTCAACAAGTATTTCTTGTGTGTACCAGTCACTGTTCGTTATACAGTGGTGAATAAAGTAGCTCACATCTGCATTCACAGAACTTTCCTTCAAGAGGGGAGGGCTGAGCGGATCAGGTAGGTGTACATGATGGTGCTAAGTGTTAAGAACATTGAAATGGAAGAGGAAAAGCTTCAGAAGAGGGAAGGTATTACTGTTTCATACTGAGTTGTTAGGGAAAGGCTGCTCTCAAAATGATAGCATTTGAGTGAAAACCTAAAAAAAGAAGTAAAGGGGCAAACTATGCATGTGTGTGTAAGCAGAAAAATACCAGGGAAGAGACCCACAATGAAGGAGCAAGCCTGGGGAGGAGGCCAGGAAGATGAAGCTGGCTGGGCAGCGAGAGGAATAGGAAACACAGAGATAGTGGGCAACTAACTCAGAATGTCTGAGGGGCAGGGTGCAGACTGCATTTTGTAGTGAGTTGGAAAGCCCTTTGTGTTTTTAGGCAGGGAAATGACACAGTGTGACTTAATCACTTTGGCTGCTGTGTCTGGCACAGACTATTGTATAGAACATATAAAAATTCGGAGGCCACACCCTTCCTGGTGACACAGTGAGTTAAAGCACAGTACTGCAAAGCTGGCCACAGCTGTCTCAACACGAGTTCGATCTCCAGCCAGGGAGGTGACCCACATGGCACAGCAAACCTCTCCTGTCTCACCCTCTGCTCCCCTCAGCAGTGTACTTACTTTGTCGATCTGCCTCTTCTGCTTCCTACTCTGTCTCTGGTGAATCCTCTCACCACCCCCACACAATGACTGTATCCCAGTTCTATATGCATAAATAAATAAATCTTAAAAAAAAAATTGGGAGGCCAGTTGAGGAACCTTGTTGAGGGATGAGTCTGGCAAAAGTTGGTATTGTAGTTCTGCTTCCTGGGCATGAATTACTTTCATGCAGCTAGTGTTTTTACTCAAATACAGCTTTAAATTTGCTAGTAGCAATGGAATTATTTCCTAAATAGTATGAAACATACCACTTCTTGTAGCTTGATTGTCAGTGAATAATAATAATGCCTTACGTTTATAGAGCATTTGACAGTTTAAAAGTGATTTAAGATCATCACAGAGCAGCTGTTGTCACCCCACAGAGGTGGAGACAGCACCACCACAAGCCCAGTCCAGCCACTTGCCGTGCGGTGGCAGGGCAAAAACAAGTGAAATCCAGGTCTTTTATCTCCTAGTCCAAACTGTTTAAAGGAATCTCTTGTTGTGATCAAATGGTGTCCTAAGATACTGCTGAGGAGAGAGAAAACACTAAATATTAGGAAATTTAGTATTTTTTTTAAAAATCAGCCCTTGAGCAAGATGCTGTGCTCCAAATAGAGATGCACAAAACAAATTTCTCCCCTGTGGACTTATTACTGAAGTGCTGATACCTGCAACAGGCATCATGTGGTAAGTAGCTAATACTAAAAAAAAAAAAAAAAATCACCCTATGTTCAGTTCCAAGTAGCAGCCATTTTAGCCATTCAAAAGGAGCAGTGTCTTTGATGACCTGAGTACACAGGGCTTCAGGAAGTGGGGTACTGGATTGAAAGATGGGCAGGAGTCAGTCAGAAAACATTGAAGAAGGATTTCTAAACCTGGGGATGGTAGAGAGAAGAGGGGGAAACATACAGTAAGAATGAAGAGTCAGTAATGGACTTTTTTGGGTTACTCATTTTTAAAACAGTGATTAAAGCAGTGTACCTTGAGTACTAAATTTAGTTGGTTCCATGATGACTGCATGTCTCTTACTTTCATACATCGTGCTCCTGAAAACTAAGGTGAGAGGTAAATGTGCAAATGTCATGTTATGTGAAAGTTTTTTAAAAGTTGTTGGACAACTGAAAACTGCAGAAAAAATTCTTATTTACACCATGCCTTTTAGAATGTCACTCAGGAATTCTGTTGTTTTTCTTCTTCACTCTACTGATCCACTCAAGTCAAATGTGTGTCTGAAAAAAGCTTGGTTAATTCAGCATACTTCATACTTTCCCAGGCAGCTCCTCTTTCCAAGACATCAAGGTATTTGTCTTTTACTATCTCCACCTGATGTGGTGGCTTGAGAAGCTTTTAAAGGTATCCATATATAAAAAGTAGGTTGTCCAAAAGAAAAATACTCCAAGTGAAGACCTATAAAGAGAATTGGATTTGGAAAATAAGACCAGACTGTGTAGAATCTTTCTTTCAGTTTAGCAAGCACTGAATATTTACCATGACTGTGATGTATGTGTATTATGCTAACTACTGGAGCTCATGTAAAAGCACAACCTTATACTTAAGGGATTTCTAAGAATATGGTGTATGTCAAAGAGTGTTTAACCTCCTCCTCAAGAAGAGCAATGATGTAGTGAGTGATGTAAATATTTAATATGATGGTGGTATAAGATTTATATTGAAAATGAGGAAAACTGGAAACAGAAAGACTGGCAGCTTACAGCCACCTTGCATACCATCTTATATTCACAGAGAGAGTGCCTCTACTATAGTATGTGTTTGTGTTACTGTGTATTATCTGGAGGACATGTTACTGAGCTCATTTCTGATCATTGAAGCAGAATCATCAGTAAGAAATAATGTTGTTCATGGTTTCCTTTCATTTATTCTCTCCATTGGACAAATAATTATTAAGTATTCACTATATGCCTAGCTCTTTTGGGGGTCTGGAAATATAACCTCAGTGAGAGAGATAAAGTTTCTGACTTCATGGAATTTACATGCTAGTCAGTCCGTCAAACTGTAGCTGAATGAGCTAATGTATGAGAAAGTGCCTGGCATATCATCTGTCACTTAACAGGTAAGACTCAAAAATTGCTAGTTACTGAGTTTGAACTTGAAGCTTGAATCAGGTACCTACCGTTGGCCAAATACTTTGTTGGGAGGTACTTTGCTGCATGGAATGTCAGGAGAGTAATTATTTACAGGTTTTTTTTTCTAAATGCATTTTTAAAAAAGATTTATGTATTTATGCTTACAAAACTGGGGTACAGGTCAGAGGTGTGGTGGATGAGAGTATTCACCAGAGACAGAGTGGTGAACAGAACAGGCTGATTGATGAAGTACACTACTGAGGGGAGCAGCGGGCAGGTCAGGAGAGAACTGCTGCACCATGAAGTCACTTCCAGGGTGAGGATCGAACACATGCTGAAGTGGCTTTATCTTCTTAGTGCTGTGCTTTTAACCCACTGCACCATCAGGGAGGGCCCTAAAAATACATTTTAAAAAAAATCATTTTTTACAAGAAAGACTGATAAAGATCTTTTCCATCTGCTCTCTAGATTGAAAACTCACCTAGCTACCAAACAGAACTCATAAAAAATTATGAGTCTTTTATTCAGTTTTGTAGTAATTTAAGTCATGTGCTATATTAAATATAATAAGGTGTCTGTTTCAGACCACTTTTGTCATTGAACATGAACTGTTGGAGTAGGTGCTGTTATGTACCATCAAAAGTGGTGTGCTCTTGTCTTGCTTGGGTGGGTTTGGTGGGCTTCTTGAATTCCTGAAAAGTCTCATTGTCACTGATGATGCTTTGTAGAAAACCTTTGTGTCATTATTTGCCTTGGCAAAGGCTATGTCAGTTCTTTTGTTAACTATAACAACAGTTTAAAGTGATGAGTAAGGCAAAAGAAGAGTGGATGAAACAAAGACTGATATGTGCATACATACACACATCTTTTAGATCAGTTTCTGAATTTTATCTAAGGTAGCATTTGTCACATAAAACCAGGAAATAGAAATACTGCATTTTCTCCTTATTCCATTCTGATGTGACCTATTACCCTCAACAGATGAATGACTTTTCTTTCCTTGTTGGCTTCCCTTTGGCCTCTCTGCTTCATAGAAGGAAGAGTAGCTTGATGGATTTTCATATTGAGACTAAAGCTAAGCCTTTTGAACAGATTTTTTGCAAGAGGATTAGTTTCTCATCTACCTGCTTTTCCTTAAAGGCCAGGGATGAGATGACAATCGTATTTACTGTGGTTGGGGGTCAAGATTTTGTTTGATTTTCACTTTAAATATACTCTTGTGTCTATAGAAACCAGAAATTGTTGGGAGTGGGGGATGTAGGACCTTACATTTTGCCTCCAGATAAAATGCTTTACATTAACTTTGTGATTAGAATTCTTGAACAGATGATGTCATTTCTGCATTAACGTGTAGTGTGCGTAAGTGCTTTTTTACTGTAGACGTAGAACTAGTCACATGGACTTTTCTGGTCTCTTTTTAGATGTGAAGCCCTCCAATATGCTAGTAAACACAAGAGGACAGGTCAAGCTGTGTGATTTTGGAGTTAGCACTCAGGTAGGTCTCCTTAACCTCCTCCTTTCTACAATGTCCACTTTTTATTTTCAATCTACTCTCTGGATTGAAAAATCACCTAGCTGCCAGACAAACAGAACTCTGTATCTGTCCTCGGCTGGGAGTGTGTTATTCAATTTTAATCTCCAAGCGAGTTTCCTTCATCAGAATATGATTGTTCATTGTTTAATGACAGTAAAAACTGCTGATATTGTAATTACTACTTACAAATAGCAAACTTCATTGATATGCAGCTTTGATATGAAAGCGTTTCGGCCAGACAAAAGGGAGGGCAGAGTGGGAGCTGTGCCTGGGGAGCCCAACTGGTCCACAATAAAAATTAATATTGGGAGCAACAATGGTGGAGGGCCATTACAATGTGCAGCACAAATTTTAATTAATTTCCATTTTGGGCCTCCCCTGAGAACCCCGGTGATAGTGACCCATGAGCGTGCTGTGATGTTGATTTGAATTGCAGCCACCTTTACTCCCAGCCAAACACGAAGACCAAAGCGAAGGTCAACATTGTATTATGAGTTGTCAAAGTCTGTTATCCCTCTAGCGTATTTAGTGTTCATTTCATTCTAGTAATGCAGGGGTTTCATTCACATCTTGAGCTATCTGACTAAAAAATGAGTGTGTTCAAATTCCACTTCAAATTGACTTTTTATATCAGCCGGGTTTGGGGTACTAAAGCGCTAAGCATCCTGCTTAAGTGAATTGTTTAAGGTTATCTGCTATAAACTGTAATGCTGTGCTTGTTTAAATTGGAAATCACATTCAAAAGAAAAGAGAGATTTAATCATTTTTAATGCCTTTGTAGATAAATTTGTTCCCTTTTACATAATTTTTAGTTGATTTATAGAAATGATGATTGTAGGTTAAATGAGGAATAATTGCCCATTTTATTTCCACATTATCTTTATATTGTTCTAACAGACTGTTTTGTCTCATAGCTGGTGAATTCTATAGCCAAGACGTATGTTGGAACAAATGCTTATATGGCAGTAAGTAAACTTATGCAAAAATAACATTTAAAACCATCTTTATCTTTATGTACTGGGTAATGTATAATTCGTGAATTCATTCCACAGCTTTAGCCTAACAGATCATAAATTACAAAGTCAATCCAGTCATGATCCGATTTTTAAGTCTTTCTAAAACATAAAGTTCTTACACAGGAACTTTGTTGACTTAACTGGTTGGTTCAAGTATGAAGTTGCTGAGTGTGGAAATTTAAAACTTACAGAAAAATTACATCTAATAGTTTATTTAATTAACTCTCAAATATACCAAAATGTCCATCAATAAAGTTGATGGTTATTTCCAGGAATATAAACATGCTTTGGCCCCAGATCAAAATTAAATTATTGATGTGTGACCAACTTTTATTATGGATCTCTGAATGTTAGGGGTAGCAGACAGTTTTCTTTAGAACTTATACTTCTACCTTCTGTTTAATTGTTGGGTCCATGCATATTGTAAGATAACTTATTTAGTTCCAGTGAAATAAATTTACCAAGAATAAAAGTAGAACTATGGAGCTATTTCAAAAACCAATGTGAACTTGACTAGCCTTCTTGTTTTTCCAGACTTTTAAGGTAAGGGAAGTTACTTGTGTCTGTAAACATGCTTTTGTTCTTTGGTTCCCACACTCACTTCCAGAATACAAAGGGAAATGGGGAAGACATGCAAAAAGTTAATCTAGTATCATTTTTGGAGTAAATCTTTGGTTTGTCTTAACATCTTTAGTTTGGTTTTTTTAAATGAGGCTTCTAGGCTTATTCAGGTAGTCCATTTCATTTCTAACAATCTTTACATATCATGAAGTTCAGTGATGATAGTATGGAGGGAATCCTGGGTCTTATTCTCTATACTCACTGTTCATATGTTGTTTTAATAAAAAAAGATATTAATGTTGATGAAAACTTAGATTCTTGAAACAATACAATGCATTTTTTTCCATTGAGATATTTGTCTTCCTTTTTTGTTTTTTTTTTAAACCTTACCCTTTTCTCATTTTTGAAGGTAATGTAGGAAAAAAACAGATAAACCTCTGAAGTCATCATATCAGTTTTCATAAAACTTAATCAACCTCTTAGTTCTTCTACCAGGTTAGCTGAGGTTGGTAACCCTCCTTTATAATTAATAAAGCCTTGCCAAATGCTGCAGTTTCAGTCACTGAACGAATATGGGACTCTGATTTAAAAAAAAAAGCTATAAATGAAACAACTTCTCAACTACCCATCATGTTCTTAGTAGTTTTAAATTGCTCTAATAATTGAATTGCATTACATTTGAATGTACAAATTCAGATTACAGTTGTCTTTCCCAGGTGTACATTAAAGAAATTACTTTTTTCCTTTTTGTTTATGGATGAATGTGATGCGTCCATCTGTTAATTGAAAATGTGAGGATTAAAATTATGAAACATTAGCTTAGATTGGAAAACAAAATTGCTTTGCTTCTTGGGTGAGTGAGTTCTAGTCATCAACAGTATAGTTCAAGCTGAAAAAAAGCATACCTCAGAAGTGAAGAATGATAGCCTGACAATGAACTTTGCCAATTCAGTATGCTCTTGTTGGCCACATACTTAAGCAAACTAGTACAAGATCATAGGTTGGTAGTGTGAGAGGTGGAAATAAATTTTTTTTATTGTATGGCTACTCATTTCTGCCTTCCACCTGCTGACAGTCCCAGGAGGCAGAAGATTTGGGCTTTACTTTTCTAACCACGGTTGGTTTTTATTTTAACTGATCTATTTGGTAACTTTAAGCTCTACACGAGAATCTTTGCCAAGGGTTAGCAAACTGTAGCTCTCAGATCAAATTCAGCCTACCACCTGTTTTTGTGAAGAAAGTTTTAAATTGCATAAAATCTGGCAGACACATACACAAATGAATGCATGTAAAATTGTGAAATCTGAATTGTAAGCTCTGTAAGTTATACCAGTGTTAATTTCCTGATTATGATATTATATTTTAACACTACTGTTGGAGAGAACTAAATCTCCCTGGTATTTCTTTCTAGCTTCTTGTGAATCAGTAGGTATTTCAAAATAAAAAATTATAGAGCAACAACCAAAGGAAGATTTATCAGAACACGGCTACACCCATTCGTTCAGTTTTATCTGTGGATCCTTGCGCACTACAATGGCAATATGGAGTAATTGTGACAGTCGCAGCAGAGGCCATATGGCCCACAAAGTGAAAAATATTACAATTGACCCTTTACAGAAAAAAATTGCCAGTCTCTGGGTTATGCCAGTGAAAGCTGTATCTGAAATTCAGTACCTGCAATTAAGCAATCAGTATTTACTGAGTACTTTCCATGCAGGTAGCCAGTTGAAGTGGAACCACTTCGTAATCTACCTGAGGTATAGCCAGGACAGGATGCATGGCACTACATGTGACCATGTTAGATGTGACAATAAAAACCTAGCTGCAGAAAAATGTATTTAGCGAATAGGAAGGCACATAATGTACAAATTCGATATATCAGCAATCTATAGAAAGGGCAGTTATAAGAGAGAGATCACTGCTTAAGGGTAAACAATCACTCATAGAAGGTAATGTGACTTGGATGGGTGTTGGAAAATGGGGTAGAGGACAAATAATAAATTGTGGGAATATATAATTAGAGATCATCTGATGTAATTCCCTCATTTTACATCTATTCCCCTCACTTTATATTCCTACATACCTCTGTACAGTGATAATAGCAACAATAATAATAGCTAACACTTAATTAGCACTGTCTGCCAGTCACACTTCTAAACTCCTACACATATTAACTCTTTAAATTCTCACAACCCTATGAGGTAGACAATACTCTGATTTTATAGATGAAGAAACCGAAGAATAGAACAGTTAAGTGACTGACCCTACCCAAGTTCCTACAACTAATGCGTGGCAGAGTCAGGAATCAAACCTAAGTTATCACCCTCCAGAAATTGAATTCAGCTATGATGCCTCTTGATTTATGAAATTGTTTGTGTCTCTCCAGTCCAGTTTATGAATTTCACAGAGGGAGGCTTATTCTGTTCCGCCTTCATATATAATCCTTCACATAATGCTAAGTGAATAAATTGGTTCGTAATAACTGTATTCCAAAAGTTACTTGTTCACTAGTTATGAGAAAGCATTTAATTTTTTTTGTATTATGTATCTTACTTGTATTATAAGGTATAAATGATCACCCCCCCACCCCAAATTGAAAATACATCAAAGAAATAACCTTCCATGTGTGAATAGTCTCACTTCTCTTTCCTGTGTCTCGAAGTGAAAGATTGAAGAAAATGATAATTGGGAAAAAGGCAGGGAGGTTTTTGTAAACTCCTAAGCCATTGAAAACACCACCAACTTACAGGCATATTAAACAGTGGAGCTTGTAGAAGACTTGAAAAGTCATCTGGTCCAAAACTTCTCATCAATGAGGAGACAGAGCTGAAAAGTGAAGTGGACATTCAAAGGGCTTGCTTCTTTTTTTTTTTTTTTTTAAGATTTATTTATTTGTGCATACAGAACTGGAGTACAGGCCAGAGGTTCAGGGGTGGCGAGAGGCTTCACCAGAGACAGAGTAGGGAGCAGAACAGGCAGATCGACAAAGTATACTGCTAAGGGGAGCAGCGGGTGGGTCAGGAGAGGTCTGCCACGCCATGTGGTCACCTCCGGGGCAGGCGGGAATCGAACTCATGCAGAAGTGGCTTTAGCTTCTTAGTGCAGTGCTTTAACCCACTGCGCCACCAGGGAGGGTCCAGGGCTTGCTACTTTTTAGGAGCAAATAATTATGTTCAGTAGAAACTTTAATCCAAAGCAAAAAAGACTTGCAACTACATTTTATAAGAAAGGATTAAAAAAGGAATCCAGAAGACATTGGGAAGCTTATATTACAGTAAACTATATCTCAGCAATTCTAATAACTAAAAAAGTTACTCTAAAGATAGAAGTAAAAATAAATAAATAAGTGAATAAATAAATAAATAGAACTCCCTAACATGTTAACCCACTGCTAAGTAATTGTGGCTCATTATAATTTTTAAGAACCAGATATAAAAGTTTGACATTATTGTTAAGAATAGCTGAAGTAAAAAACCTTACCCATTAGCATGGCCTTTGGGATCAGGAAGTCTACATAACTATTATCTCCTGATCATTATTTTTCTATCTGGGCTCTTCTGTCCTCTTTATCCTTACTTAGAGTAAAACCTATTCAGATCCAATTCAAATGGCCATATTGATATGGTGATGGAGATGGCAGTGATGGTGAGTGGAAGGAGACTCAGATTTACTGAGCAGCGCCTCTATATATAGTCCAGCAAATGAATTCATTTACTCCCACACAACCCCATAAGGTAATATATATTATTACGTATGTAAAGGAATGATGTAGAAATCAATGGTGAAGTAAGGTTAATTAATCCAGGGCTGCAGGGTTAGCAAGTAACGACACCTACTTCTAGTTTCTGTTAATAGTAGGTTATATTATTTGTATCAACTCTTCTGCTGAAAAATGCTTGTTAAAATATTTAGAAAACCATTGCAGATAAAAGGAAGAGGTAAAAAGACAATGGCAACTCCCAGGGCAATTTTCAGATGGAGCAGAATGTCAGAACACCGAAACTTTTTCCTGAAGGCATTTTTCTAGTACACAGATGTGAATGATTTGGGGAGCCCACCTAAGGCAGAGGGTCTCAGAGATCTTCCCCATCTCATGCTGGGAACTTGTAAGGCTCACCCTCAGTTCAAGAGCAAACCAGAGATAAAGCTGTTCTTCTCCCCAGCCTGTCCCACCTCTTGACTCTACAACTCTAGCATGGTCTGCATACAGCCCACATGGGGACATTTTGACTTGAAGTAATTCCCCATCAACCTTAATTATTTATGCATACTTCATTAATTACCTGAGTTCCTTCTGTGGGAAAGAATTTTTCTGAGGGTAAATTTCTTTATGGGAAGAGACAAAGGATGCATGCTTCTCTGCCTGCTTTTGGCAAATAGGCCTTGGAGCAATGGGTTGTCTGTGGAGACAATCCTGAGGTGATCTAACTAAATATAGGCCCTACATAGATCCTTACTCTTGGAAAGTGACTGGAAGGCTGGAGTGCATTTTTCAACTTGGAGCACTGCCTTTTAAGATCCACTGTAAACTGTTTTTTATTTCATTCACCACTACTTACTGTTCTTGTTAGGAACAGACCAGGGTCTTTTCCCCTACACTTAAACCTCAGTACTGCTTCAGACACCTATTATTTTTCCTGTTATTTAGCTTTATACCCTGGTGACAGGTGTCATGTCAGAAAGTAACCTGACTTTAGCTTTTTAGCTACAGAGTGTCCATCGTAGGTCTTCTGCTAGTAGCACAGTTTCTGGTGGTTGGTTTTGCTTGTCTTTAGAGGGGAGAGGACCGAGCAGGCACCTAGGCTTCAAGCATGAAAACAGATTTGATGCAGCCTCAGGCCATGAAGTCCTGGCTCCATAATTCAGAAAAGGACTAGGGTTTCTCTTTTATGTCAATATAATTATAATTAAATAGTGTCTGTTTCATTGACTGGAGTGCACTTCCCAGTTCTCTTCAGCCCTATATGCATTTCTACCCTAGCCCTTTACCACATCGCAAAGGTTAGCTTATTGCAAAAATAATTAGCCTAATGAGAGGTTGTTAGAATCTCATCCTTAAGGAATTCTCTTATCTGCCACCTGGTAACTGCAAACATCACTTTCCTGTTTTTCCTTTATAAATTATTTTAATTTTTCTGTGTTCTATTTTCTGTTTACAGCTTGCACTGATTTGGTAGTTACATGGGCACTATGTTATGAATGTATTTAATCTAATTGCTTATCCTGCCAAAATCTTCTGAAGGTACATCCACTTTTGTTCACTTTTTTCTATACTCTGTATAAATATATTTATATCTATAACTCAGCAAATAGAATGAAGACAGGAGAGAAGGAAGAAAGAGAAAGACAAAATTTGGTTATTTTTTAAACAATTATAGAGGATTTTAGAATGTTCCTGTTCTTGATAGATGTGAAAGCAATAAAATGGGAGGAAATGATATTAGTAGAAATTTCCATGGAACTAATGCTTAGACCTAAATGTGCAGAAAACAGCTATGGACTCCCTTCAGTGAGTACTCAGTGACTGTACACCAGCTGTGTGACAGGCCTGGCAGTAGGATTTGTGATGAGTAAGATTCTCTTTGTTTCTTAACAGAAATAGTCTAGAAAAATAGATGATTGCAACACAGTGTAATAATTAAATAGTAACAACAACACTTTAATGAAGTATAGTAGGAATTTGCAGTTCTGCCTGAGGAATAAAGTGTCACCAAAGTCAGGAGGCCCTTGAACATGGCCCATAAAAGAAACATTCACTAAACAAAGAGGCATGGCTTCTACAGTTTAATGATTGGAATTGAATATACCAAGAATCACCCAGTGAAATTACTGTTTATTAAATGGAGTTCCCAGGCCTACCCCTAGAAATTCTGATTCAGAAGGTTCATTTATAATCAGTATGTAAGGCAGTTAATTTTGGGATGGTTAGTCCGAAGACTGCGTTTTGAGAAATACTTACCCAGTGGAGACTAGGGCATCTTTTGACATCTCGTTCAGGTACAATTTGAAACACTCTCAGTGATTTTTGCAGTCTGACATGGATTTTGAAAACTGACTTTTCTATGCTTAGTCCATTAGCTTTAGACTTGGGCAAGTCACTTAATAAGCCTCAGTTTTTACATCTTTAAAATAAGGACAATAAAATCTAACTGCGAGAATGTCATGTAGAAGGCTGCAGTTGACCTAGCCTGTGTCGGGCAGGTGGTCATTAAACCCTTAATTGTACAAACTAAACTTCTCCATCTCATTGTCTTCATCTGTTACATGAAGATGGTAGTACCACCTAATACATTGTTTATGAACCTAAAGTGAGATGTGTATGAAAAATCCTTAAAACAATACCAGGCACATGAAAATTCTTCAGTAAATGTACACAGTGATGTTGATAGTGATTTTGATGATAATGGTGAGGACCGTAGCATTACTCCTTTAACTGGCAGGCAAGTTCTATGTGAATACACCCCAGTACCCTATGAGTTACCTAGAATTGGTTTAAAGGGTTTAATTATATGTGAACAAAGAACTTGGGAAATGATGTTGTTTTCTCATAAAGAGAAAAAGTACTAGGAGACTAGAATGACCACGTCTATTAGCAGCTGTAAGAAATGGTCACATGACACCCGGCCCTTGGGAAGAATTACTCTTGGTAGGAAAAGGATTTTACAAATTAAAGAAATAAATAAAGGAAGGGAAATAAGACAATCCATCCTGCTACCTCAGGTCAGGGCTTGATTTAATTTTATGGACAGTGGCCCCTGGAGAAGGCAGCAGATACACTGAGGTATCCTAGTAGGTTGGAGTGGGAAGTAGTCTGAGTCCAAGATAAACTAACTCCCTGAGATGTGGGATGGGACCTAATCTAATGGTATCTGCCCCACACCCCGGTTTTAGCCCCTACTACAGTGGTAGCTGCTCATTCCTCTGTCTCCAGTAGTCCAGGCTCCATTAACACCAGCTAGTTTTAAGGGTATTCAAGAAGGATGATGACTAGCTATAGTGGTGGCCAGAAACTCCAGGAATGTATAGAAAATAGAATTATGTCTTGGGCACCAAGAGTTCTGGTCTCAGACTGGCCATGATTGACTCTGTAACCTTGAGTAACTTCCACATACATGAAACTTCAGCTTCTCTTACTCATTTGCTCATTGGTTTATTCAAAAGACTTCTATAAAACATCTTACTGAATATGGGGAACCAAGTAAGGGATCAGGGAAAAAAAAAAACAATAATAATAAATAAATAAAAATAGCAGGCAACAAGTGAGTCAGACATTCTGCAAGGGACGGGGAGGCAGAGGGATCAAAACGGGCACAAAGAGCACAGGGGTCAACGGTGATGATTCACAGGTGAAATGGTCGTGGGAATTTTATGGGGACTACACCTGAGTGGAGAAAGCATAATTGTACAGAAATAAACAATGATGTTAAGATATATATATATAAATTTAGTGAATACCAAGTTACCAAATTCTGGAGAAAAAAACCAGGCAACGGCCCTCCCTGGTGGTGCAGTGAGTTAAAGCACAGCACTAAGAAGCTAAAGCCACTTCTGCATGAGTTCAATTCCCGCCTGCCCCAGAGATGACCACATGGCGCGGCAGACCTCTCCTGACCC